CTTTTCTGTATGTATTGACCTGCAATTAGCATTCTGTTGTCACTTATTAATCTGCTATGTAGTTAAAAAAAAAATTGTATGGGCAGTTTTGTTTTCTAACTTGAAAGTCTTCTAACTCTTGTGTTCTGTTCATTCAAATGCACCATTAAAAAATGGGGAAAAGGGATAAATATTTGTCAGAGAATTTTTACAATTGGCTTTCTTGTATGCCTTTCTCTTTTATTTGAAGGTTTCAGCCCATAAAGCAGAAAGTTCTCTGTTATTGTTGACGGTAGTGGGGAAGAATGATATAGCGAGACAGCACATTGTATTGTTTAGGCTGGCAAAACCTTTCAGTTGATATTTGAGTTAGCCTCTTCTATCTCTTTAATGGATGAAGCTGGAAGGCTTCACTTTGGCGACTGAAACTGTTTTCTTGCAGAAAATTCCTACAGTTCATACTTAATAGAGACTAGTTTTAATTAAAAAAAGAAAGCAGTCTCAAGTGGTTTATGTTGAATTTTTTTTCCCCTTGGAATCTAATTTCAAATCAATATGGAAAGGTTTCTGAATGCACAACCCTTTAATATGTTTTTTAACTCAGGATTTAATGTTTGAATTTTTAATATTAACAGTCAATGTGGATGATGCTGTGGATGATATTGTACGCCAATTTAAAGGGGTTTCAGATGGTTTAATGAGAAAAGTGGTTGGTTCAACATCTCCAACAGTGAAAGTTCTTCAACATCTGTCCTATGGAATTTGTCTGGGAATTCAGATGAAATCAATCAAAGTATTCCTAGGCTAAATATGGAAGATGCTGTTTTGAGCTCTGATAATGATGAAGCCGAGAAGAGTGCTGATATTGGACATGAGAGTGTCAATAGAGAAGTAGCACAATCTCATGTGTGGCATTCTGACAATGAATTGGGCTCAAAGGGTTTTCCACCACGGGTAATAAACCAAGCTGGAGAGTCTGGTAAATTGGATCAAGACAGAAAGCACGATTTGGTGGTTGAAGCCAGGTTTGGCAGGGATGTACCGGCTACAAATTTCACTATGATTCCTAATAATTTGGAGGATCCAGTAGCTGTGCCACCTGAGGTCTGTGTTGTCAGCTAACTGTATTTGTCCTGTTTTATATGCTGCCTTTGTTGATTGGGATGCTTGATCCTGTGGTGCTTACTGTTTTTTATGGATTGTTTAGTAGCTTGTTATTGTTACAGACTAGGCTACTTTCTAGCATGCTGCCACTAGGTAAATAGAATTTATAACTGATCCCCTCCCAATCAAGGAAGTTGAGTTATCATACACATCCTAACTTCTTAGTTGGTAGACCTTTTCAGGTGTTCAAAACCCTCTTTCTCGATATAGTTACAAACTTTTTTGAAAATTTGTTGGACACTTGTCTTTGAATGTGAAGGTAGATATTGCGTGAAAACTAAGAACCATGATTTAAACTGTCGTAAAAGCTTGTTTTTTGGTATGTTATGGCCTCTTTTTGTTGTACTTTCCCTTCTAAATGAAAGAATGATGATATATGACCAGATCAAAAGAAGACTGAAGTTTTACTTGAGACTTCCCTTGCAGGACGTCAGCAGGACGTTTTCTATATTTCTCTTTTGTTTAAAAGATACTCTTAAACATCCATATCTTTCTTTTTTGCAGTGGACCCCGCCTAATGTGAGTGTCCCTATTTTAAATTTGGTTGACAATATTTTTCAGCTGAAGAAAAGAGGCTGGCTACGGTATGCTACTCTATTGAAACGTTCAGTAATTTTCATGTTAGTGCAAGAAATAATGTTTAAATCCAATATGCTACTAAATCTTCTTCTGGTATTCTCATTGTGTTTTTTTTTTTTTTCGGAAGATGCGAAGTTATTCTGATGTGTTGTTTGATTTTACATGCTGTTGTTAGAGATAATAATTTTAGAATGATTGATTTCCTGACATGATACATGAATTTTCTTGGCTAAGTCTTCTATTTGATATTTGATCTTCTCAGTCTAAAGATCGAGTAATATTTTGAGTTTTTAACACGAGAGTGGTGGTTGTGGCTCTATGATATGTCCATGCTTCAAGCCTAAAGGGTTTTTTTTGTGAGGAGATGCATTATAGATAAAGTCCATTTGCTGGCATGGTATCATCTTGATTTCTTTTTCATCTGGTTTGGAAAAACATAATTTATGATTAATAGATTCAATCAGTATTTTCTACTATGTCTAAAATGCTGGAAATTGTGCTACTTTCGATGTTTGTGAACTTTAGTGAATACAACAATATTAGGTCTTTATAGTTCTGTTGATTTGTTTCACTCTATGACTATATGAGTTTCTACATTAACTAATTTATGTTCATGCAGAAGACAGGTCTTTTGGATATCAAAGCAGATATTACATTTGGTGATGGAAGATGCAATTGATGATTGGCTCCTGAGGCAGATTAATTTGCTCAGGCAGGAGGAAACTATTGCCCACGGAATTCGGTGGCTTCAAGATGTAAGGACTGAATCAAATTTTGAACCTCATCTTTAATTCTTTATGTAGCTTGCCAACTAAAAGATTGAATATTATGTGACGGCCCTAGTTCCTAACAGTATGAATAACCATATTTTTTGTTTTATTTGTGTGTTCATCATGCTTGTATATCTTGATTTCCTTTTCCTTAGTCATGTAACTTATAACGCAATCTATTTGCCCTGCTGGAAGTCATAAAATGTTGATAAATTTAAATCTTGATGGCTGAACTTTTTCCAAAATATTTAATAGAATTGTGGATTTGCGAATAATAAAATTCTGACTTTTGTAAATAACTAGATTGTGTGGGGCTTTTGATTTGCTTGGATAACTTCGTGTAAATTTTAGATGATATAATATATATAGATGTAGATTGGCAACTTCGTTCAAATATTTATGCTCTCAGGTGCTCTGGCCTGGTGGTATATTTCTAACTAGAGTGGGGACTCCTCAGATGTTAACTACTGACGGTGACATCCTTAAAAATCCTTTTCAAACAATGAGTGAATTTAGTGGAAGCAAGATCACTAGATCTGGGTCAGGTTCCTTTGAGGAACAGCTTGAGGCTGCTCGTAGGGCTAGTGCTGTCAAGAAACTGCTCTTTGGTTAGTTCTTTCTTCTCGAGTCTAACATGTGTCAACTTTTGTTTACTATTCTTGCATTTTTAAACTTATATTTAGCTTCTTCCCTTTACATTCAATCTTCTAAAGATTAGTCTTGACTTCAATCTAAACTGTACAGCTCTATCAGAGACTTCTCAATCCTGACCATTGTATTTTAATTTACTTTTAATCTTCTCAGATGGAGCTCCCACCACCTTGGTCAGCTTAATTGGGCAAAAGCAGTACAGACAATGTGCCAGAGATATATACTATTTTAGTCAGGTTAAATATCTCTTTCCCACTGTGTTATCCGCTTTATGGGGACTCCTTGTTCTTGCATTTGTCTAGTTTTAATTTTCTTTAACCCGAGAAATTTTCTTCCAAACTAACATTTGGATAACTTGTCTGCATTTTAGTCTACCACATGCGTCAAGCAACTTGCTTATGCGATTCTCGAACTTCTACTCATATCTATATTCCCCGAGATGCGGAATCTAGTCATGAGTGTTCATGAGAACATGCATGGTCACCAACCCGTATAGTCCTGTCGGAGTCGCTGCTTATGTTCTAGTTGAGATCATTGGACTTGGGAAGGCCAAGTTTTTGTTTGTCTGGTGACGTAGGTTTTTCTTCATGGCTCTGCCTGTTGGCTTTCTCTTTTACAAGGTATCAGGAGCAATGTTTAATGGGTTGTTTTATGCTTGTGGCTTTCTTTTAAACTCTCACCTCACTGTACAAAGGTTAGATTTAGGTTCATGTACAGGAAACACCTTTTTTGGTGGATTCATTCTGCACTCTAGGCATAACCATGCCATAGGGTTTTTGTATTGATGATTTAATTTAATGAATATTCTTTATTCGTTCGCATTGGGATCTGTCTCGTTCATTTTCTGAACTTTTATTTTATGTGGGTCGAATTTAATTCAGTTAGAACTTTTTACTCGAACGTCCACAATTTAGGAGAATCCGCTTTCAAAAATCCTTGCTTTAAATGATGAAAACATTGCCAACGCAGGTGTTGTCAAGAATGCGACTACAAAGCCTTGAGTTCAAAACCATATCTAACGTGTGTTCTATCATCTATGATAAACTTCGAACCCAAATTAATACATTTTCGGGATATTATACATATTTGTCCCGTGACTTGCTGTTATTGAGACCATATTCACCTTGTTGAATAATAAATTTTAGTTTTAGTGATGAATCCAGTAAAAGAGAGATGATACGTCATTTTAGACAGACCTAGTATAATTAGCATATTATCATCAGATTGACCGTGTATAATGTATTCAGAAGAGATAAACAATAATGGATGTGAATTTTAAACGTAGCCTAAATCTTTTCATGTCATTTTTTTTCCCTGACTATGGGTCCACAAGTTTAAAGCATCTAATTAACGGGGTAGACTTGTGGAATTTGAGAGAACATATTTCTTATTGATATAGAATAGTGAAATACAACTAGTTATTTATACATTAAGATGAGAAAATAATTATAATGGCTAATAACTACTAATAAAACCTAAGAATATTTACAATAGCAATAATATAATATCTACAATAAATGTCTAATATTTTTATATTCGCCCTCAAGTTGGATCATAGATACTGATCATGTTCAATTTGTTTGTGTAATTCTCAAATGCAAGTGCAAGTAACCCTTTAGTCAAAATATTAGCAGCTTGCAACTTTGTAAGCAAATATATCAAACATATAATTTCTTCTTCTATTTTTTTCTCTGATAAAGTGTTGGTCAATCTTAGCATGTTTAACATGTCATGTTGCACTAGATTTAAGGCCATGTTTATGGCAGCTTTATTATTACTGTAGAGTTTCAATGGTGAGCTTACTCCAGCTTGTATCTCATTCAAGACTTGTTTAAGCCATAATTCCTCAGTAATTCCTTAAGCCAAAGCTCTCAATTCAAATTCAGCACTGCTTCTGGAAACAACTCTTTGCTTCTGGCTTCTCCATGTCACTAAATTTCCCACACAAATGAATAGTAGCTAGAGATTGATCTTTGATCTTTATAGGTTCCACCCTAACTTGCATCGATGTAATTTTCAATGGATCTTTGCTCATGTTTTCTGAAGAACAAACCTCTACCAGGAGTACCTTTTAAATATCTCAAGATCTTGTACACTGCCTCCATATGACTCTTCATTGGAAAAGTCATATATTGACTGGCTACACTGACAATGAAGGCTATATTTGGCCTCGTATAAGAGAGATATATCAATTTTCTAACGAGCTTCTGATATCTTTCTTTGTCAGCTGCTTCTTCCTTTTCTTTGACTTCCTCCTTCTCTTCTTCACCTTCCTCATTTACCTTAAGCTTCTTCTTTGGTTTCTTAACCTCAATAGATGTTTCAACAGGTCTATAGCCTAACATACCCATCTTTGTCAAGAGATCAAGTGTATATTTTCTCTGAGAAATGTAGATTCCTCTTCTTGACCTGACAACTTTCATCCTAAGAAAGTATTTTAGCTTCCTAAAATCCTTGACTTCAAATTCCTTTCTAAGGGAATCCTTCACTCTCTCTATCTCCTCAAGGTGATCTTCGGTAAGTATTATGTCATCAACATAGACAAGAAGGATACATTTCTTACTCCCTTCAACCTTAACAAATATTGTATGATCTAATAGGGGTTGCTTGTAGCCTTTAGAAGTTAGAACTTTTGAGAACCTGTTAGACTAAGCTCTTGGTGATTGTTTCAAATCATATATTGAATTTTTCAACTTATAGACTTGATTTTCTCTACTTTTATCAAAACCAGAAGGTAGTGTCATATACATTTCTTCCTTCAACCCTCCATTTAGAAATGCATTTTTGATGTCAAGTTAAAGGAGAGGCCACTCAAAATTAGTTGCTACAGACAATAAGACTCTGATAGTGTTCAATTTTGCCACTGGAATAAATGTTTCTTCATAGTCTAAGCCATATGTTTGGTTAAACTCTCTTGCAACCAAGCATGCTTTCAATTTTTGAGGGCTCCATCAGCCTTGTATTTTAGGGTGAATATCCACTTACAACTCACTATTTTCTTTCCTTTTGGAAGTTGAACAAGTTCCCATATCACATTCTTTTCTAAGGCCCTCATTTCTTCCATAATAACACTGCCATTTAGGGATGCTTAGAGCTCCATGTATAGTCTCAGGTACCTTCACATTATCAAGATTAATAACAATAGCCCGATATTGAGGAGAAAGTGCATTGTATGAGACAAACCTCTTTATTGAATGGAAAGTACATAAGCAAGGTTGCTTCCTTGAAGCAATAGGAAGATCAAGATTAGTAGATGAGCTTACGCGTTCTGTACTATCTAGCTTTGTGCTTTTAGGAGTTGCCCTAATTTCTAAGTCTTTATGAGGTCATGCTTCAAGAGCTACCTCTGGTTCTGACTCTCTTAGTGCTTCAGATACAAGTTGCTAATTATCTTTTGATTTCTCTTTATGAGTGTAAACTAACAATTTTCCCTTTTGTGGTCTTTTTGCATCTCCCCTTGCCTGCCTGTGTTCTTTAGGCTATGACATAAGAGGAACTATAAGTGCTGGTAGTGACAGTGAAGGTAATGGTTCAGGGTATGGTAGTAGTAATGGCTTAGTATGTACCAATTCTCTATTAGGTTCTTGTTCCCAAGTTTGTGATTCTCTTATGTTCTCCCCCTAAATCGAAGAATAAGGATAAAATGGAGTAGCTTCACGAAAGGTGACATCAAGATTGACAAATGTGTAGTTAGAGATGGGGCTAAAGCATCTATATCCTTTCTGAGTAGCACAGTGCCTAAGAAATATGCATTTGATAGTTCAAGGTTCAAGTTTAGAGCTTTGATGGTTATGGACAAAGGTTGTGTTGCCAAACACCCAAAGCAGAAGATTGGTTTCAATATGAGATGTGGAGAAAGTACTTCACAATTTGTGGAGAGGAGTGTTGAAGGATAAGATATGACTGGGCATTCGGTTGGTTATGTAGGTGGCAGTCAAAATAGCATTCCCCCATTTTGTTGGGGTGTATCAGCACAAGAACTAGTATGAATAATATTGTGCATTTGGAGGAAAGTACTCAAAACTGGTTAAAGTACTCAGTGCCATTGTTAGTGTGTAAGACTTTGATTGTGATATTAAATTGGGTTTGAATTATGTTGAAGAAGTTCATGAATGTGGGAGCAACCTATGAGTTGTTTCTTAAAAGGTAAACCTAACAGACACGAGTATTGTCATCAATAAAGGAAATGAACCATGTTTTTTTAATACGATTAGGAGTACGAGATGGCCCCCACAAGTCATCATGAATGGTTGTGAGAGGTTTGGTGGGTGTATATTTGGCTCTCGAAAAAGAAGGTCTATAGTGTTTGGAAAGTTCACACACTTCACAACGAATGTTATCAGTATTCAAATTGGGACATAGGGTTGGAAATAATTGTTGAAAGCGTTGAAAATTAAGGTGACCTAGCCTCTTATACCATAACATAAAATTATCAACTTTAAAGGTAGATGTAGAATTACCAATAATTGGTGAGTTACCCACTCAAGTGGTGACTTCAAAATGGTAAAGCCCTTCATACTCTTTAACACTTTCAATTGTCACTCCAGATGATAAATCCTAAAACACATAATGGGATAGGAGAAACTTAGCATAACAATTTGACTGCTTTGTCAGTTGACTAATGGAAAGTAAATTGTAATCAAACTTAGGCACATGAGTATAGATTCCAACATTATAGAATCTAAAATTTGAATAATCTCTTTTCCTGCTACAAGTGCTAATGAGCCATCTACAATCTTGACTTTAATATTCCCAATACATGGGGTATAAGTGGTAAACAATTCATGACAATTAGTTATATGGTCGAAGGCTCCAAAGTCAACTATCCATACTGTTTTATCTCGTGACGTTGTTAGATCTTAAAGGAAAGTCTCCTATTTTGCTACTATTGCTATATGTAAAGATTTGAATTGGGTAAGTTGGATATTTGAGAGTACCCATAAGATTACTTTGATGAATGCAACAATTTCCACATAACAGAGAAAGAAAAAACACCACATCCCCATAAACAGCTAGCAGTCACATAAATAGAAGAACTTGAGACAAAGGAATATAGAAGACAAGTTGCCCAAATCTGGGGCACATTAGGATCGTACTGAAAATGTCGACGATAGAGGAAAGCATCGCGAGCCACCCAAATCCTTCATGCACTCCCATTCGCCACTTGGCACTTTCTGAGCAGAATCTTGAGTTAGTGAGTGGGAGTGCTACTTGTCACCAGTCGTGGTCAAACTCTAAGGTTTCACCAATCAAACCCTTGGGCACCTTCTTAGGCTAGCGGTGAGATTTAGAGCTCCTACTACCACCATGAATAGCAATGGCTAGAGACATTTCAAGGGGTACATTTGATGAGGTATCACCTAAAAATCCCTAAACGTACACAACCAGAGACCCTAAATGCACTAGCTCTAATACCATGCAAAATTTGAGTGAAAATATTTCTCATTGATATAGAATACTGAAATACAACTAGGTATTTATATACTAGGATGGGAAAATAATAATAATAATAAATAATAACTGCTAATAAAGCCTAAGAATATTTAAAACAGAAATAAGCCAATAACATAATATTTATAATAAAGTCTAATATCCCATGGAGACTTCACATATGTGGAACCCATATGTATAGGGAAAATGAAGTGAAATTCAATCTTCTCTTTTTCCCTTTCTACTTTAAAGGATCTAGTCTCCATATGCATAGGGAAAATGAAGACAAATAGTTTTGGTGACGTATGTCTCATAATAAGGTTTTTTTTTTTGGGTATCACTGTCTTCCTAATTACTTCATCCTTCTCTATATATAAGACGTTTTCTAGAAGTTTATTTCATACCTAAATATAAGGGTAATCATAATACTTTTGAGCAATTAAAAAATTTTGCCCTTGTCTTGAAAATGGAAAAGATATTAATTGTGTGTTTTATCCCCCACCACCACCATATTAATTGTGACATTATTAAGAGCAAAATTGAAAAATCATTATGTTTGAATGAGATTTCAACTAAATAATAAACTTTTGTTGGTACACGAGATTTAATTAAAATTACTTTATGTATAGAGATGCATAGAGTACGTGATTGAATAGTAAGAGTTATAATTTGTTCCAAGTTCATATACATCAACAAGTGTGGACAAAAACAGGATGAGAAATCAGAACAAACTTGTCAAGGGGAAATGATGGAATCAGGAAGATCAGAGAAGAGAGAAGGGAGAGAATAGAGCCTGAGTTTTCTGACTTGATACCAAGAATTGAGGACATTTAGGTTCTTGTCTGTCCCTGTGAATGCCAATTGAATCCCAATGTTGCAGCCACCCACTCCGTTGTTTTGACACTTTGAAGCTGTCACTGCACAGTCTTGGTTGTTGAGGCACACGCTTTCCCCAGAACAGCCTTCACACCCAAAGCTCTTCCATATCAGATTCTGAAGAGTTCCCTCCTTAAACTCCAGAATCTGCTCAATCTATCCCATTTCAGATTTACAAGTTATGGCAATAAACACTTTGCTTCTTCAAGCATTGATCTTGAATAATCCACCTACTGTCACTGTCAAATAGTTCTATTATGAATGCAATATATTATGCTCTTGAAAAAAAAAAACTTCAGATCTCAATTCTTTCAATAATAGGATGGATTGGATTCTTTTGTGAGTTAGGATGATGGTCCTGTGCAAAAAGAGACACATAGTATATAATGTTGTATAAGATATTTTAAAGGTGTTTGGATATTTTTTAAAAAATCATGGTTTTAGGTTTATAAATTATTTTAGCACGTGATAGAATTGTTTAGATATATTTTCATAAAATCATAGTTTTGAGATCTAAAATTGATTATGAAAGTTATCCATCCAAGCACTTAATCATTCATTTAGACCAATTTGTTCACATATGATAGCTTGACTGAAACTTTGATTAATAAATGAACCTAGATCTGTCCCGACAAGTTCTAAGCAAGTGAAATGATGTTTACCAGAGTGAAACTAGTAATGGTGTGAGAGTTGTCTGAAAACATGACTGGAGCAGATATTGCTGCATACTGATGTCCGGCAAATGCTACCATGAATCCACCAGACTTGGCCTGGTCAATAGCAAGTCTCAAAAAACTGCTCAAGCTGGGTCATGCTCATCATGTCAACTTCTTAACATAGAGATTATATATCTGACCTTCTAAACCAGAAGCACTTGCATACCATCTCTCTTCAAATCATGCTTATACTAATATTAGTTCAAGCAATGCATATCCAGGCATACATGAATCAGACCATGAATGAAGAGTTCAAAGGGAAACTTGAAGAATCACAATCAGACCAGTTCTTTGGTTATCATGATTTGAACCAAATCCTTATTAGTTCATTCATATTTTATCAAATATGTAGAGAAATAAAGAGATGACAACACATGCACAAGTGAACAATTAAGTAATGGCACTAAACCATTCTACTTTTAAATATTACACTGATGATTATTAGATAATACAGCTACATACTTTATTAGCTTCCATTTAACAAACTAGATTGAATTCTGAATCCAATGAGTCACAAATACATTCAAATCACCTTTAGTCAAGCCATTTAGACTTATCTTTATATTATGGAATAAAAAAAAGTCAAAACAGGTATGCAAGAACATTTCATACCGGATCAAAAGAGCTTCCATTGATGGTAAGAAAAGAGATCTGATCAACATGTGGCCGGAACACGGCAAGTTGAGCAGCTTTGCCGGAAAGGTTGAGGCGGCTATCACACGGTGAGAGCTGTGGACCTTGATTCAGAAAGAAGGACTCCTTATTTGAGAATGCAACACCAAAGCTAAAGCCATCACCTTTCTGAACTTTAGCATCAGAACATGGACTATAAACATCATTTCTATCTGCAGCATCTGCACCAAGCATGACCATCAATATCACAATAACCATCTTCAACATGGCAAAGCCTTCTTCTTCCATTGTTCTCAATCTCATCATCTTCTTCAAGAGAATGTTTTCTGTACAGAAAACTACTATAGGAAGAACAATCAGATAGTTGTACAATATCAGTTCTATTATATTAAGAGGACAAGCTTTGTGGTGATAAAAACAAAGTGAGGTTGAATATTGAGTATTTCTTTATAAGAACGAAAAATTCATTATATTTATTAGCTTCTAAGGTAAAAAACCGGAATCTTAGGAATGTTATCGAAGCCCCAATGAAGAACCTACCATTCTCCATGCTCTATCATGCCATGACCACGATTTTTTTTTTAATATATGTTACATTTAAATTTATCAAACTCATAATATAAAAATACTTTAGGTGTAGAAAAGAATATCAAGATTGAATGACTCCAACATTCTTATGCGATTCTCTTGTTATCGATGAAATGATATATTTTTCTCCAAGTGAGCTAACAAAATTGCTAACTTCTAATAAAAAATCAAATAGTTTGTCTGTTCAGTTCTGTCTACTCGTTCATTCTTGCCTTGTTTGCGCCTAAATAAATCTATTGATTTAACACCATTCCCTTGTGTGGTTTAAATTTACTAATGCCACATATCATGTAAAATATGAAATTTGAAGATTAGCTATGGAATATGGTATGGATATCTGTTGGCAAAAAAAAAAAAGAAAGAAAGAAAGAAAGAAAGAAAGAAAGAAAAAATGGTACGGATATCAGCTTTATCATTTTTTTTTTTGGTGGTCCTAAAAATGTTACCTCGTATTGACAAGTGTCAAAAAGCTTAATTTGTGAGCTGTTTGGTTTTTGCTTAGGAAAAGAAATAAAAAGGAGGTGACAGAGAGAGTGGAATAAAGTCGCAAGGGATCTTCCTTTTGATAATTTTGGATCTTTTCATTCATTTTTGCCAATTACTTAATTAGTTGGATGCTCCCTTCTATTCCTCACTTTCTTTTTTTTAATTAATCGTCTTATAATAAGTATATGCAATTTTTATTGATAAATATTATATTTTTTCTAAATAAATATATTATTTTTTAACATTATTTTTTGCTGAATTTATTTTATGTTAATTATTTATATTTTTATACATAACCATTTAACAGTAATGTGGTAGGTACATTTTAATAAAAAATTATATATATATATATATATATTTATCAATTATCATATATTTTAATTAACATTAACAGTTTCATAAAAATATAAAATATTGAATTCTGTATAAAGCACATGTTAAAAAAGGTAAAATGCGTAAACAATTAAATACCCGAAAAAGGAATCGAAATTAGAAATTCTGACAAGGGTAAGGAAATAACGGGGAGGGGTGAGTTTCCGAGTCACGGACTCGCTTGACTCGGCAGGCATTTTAATTAGGTCAAGTTGGGGTTTTTATAAGGTTTAAAAATCGCTGTTTGACTGCAAAGCAGAGTGAATTATGAGTGAAAGGATGGAGAAGAAGCAGATCTGAAAGCTAAGGAAATCTGCAAGCTAAGAGGCTTTCTGTCAAACCTAAAAAAAGGGAATTAATCAAATGCTTTGAGCCCTGTTTTTCTGGCTTCCCAAATAGTCAGAAAATGCCGCGTCCTTGTTTTCACAAGCTTGTCCTTCCATCCACCGTCCAAGCCGGCCAATTGGTACCCAAATTCCCCTTCTGTCGCTCTTTCTAGCTTCTTCTTGGAGTTCCGTCCTCTGTTTTCTTCGCAAGTTTTTTTAATTGATACTTGGACTGGCCGTATTCTTCTTTTCATGATAAATTTGAGCGAGTGAAAAAATTGGCAGAATAGTATGCCTTCGTTTTGATTCTGCTTCGGTAACTTAAGATTTTTATCCCCTTTAAAAGCCAATTCCTTTCGCACTTCTTGTCTTCTAGGATATGGTGGGGTATTAGGGATGTTCATGGGTTGTCAATCTATATTTTTATAAAGCACAGTATTTTCAAAGGATTTTGCACATAGAAGAACTCCTTGCTGGTGGAGCTCCATCACTGAGATAGTCGGTTTCTGATATGAGGCTTTTATTTCATTTGTTTTGGCTTTTGCTACGCCAAGGAAGCCTAATTTAGTGGAAATAGATTTTTTTTTTTCCTTGTGGGTGAAGTTGCTATGATTTTGAATTTATGCCTTCTTGAGCTGAATACTAATGCTAGACTTAAGTAGATTTAGTTCATAACCGTTTCTTTGTCAGTAGTGCTTTCCAATGACAGCCTGAGATTTCTTGGGCATCGTACTTCTGATTGAAAATCTCCGGGAAAACTTTCTGATTCATCATTTTTTTAGTAGTGGATGTGTATTAAAAAACTTAACAGTCTAGGCTACATGGCAACTGAGAAACTTCGAATTATTCGGTGCAAAAAAAATAAGGATTTGATTTCAATAAAATTAGACTAACCGCTCTGTTTGAGGAACCTGAGTTCTTTACCATGCACTTGAATTTAGGCAGGTAGGACTTTCAATAATTCTAAGAAATTAATGTAAGAAACTTATATCAAAAGTATATAGCAATGGAGTTAGTCTGGAGTTCCATCCCTTCCCAATAGCATCTGAGTTTAATTAGTTACAGAAGTTCAACTGGTATAGCAGTGTTTGAAACGAGCTATTATTCTAAGATTGGCTTAAAAGCTTTCCTTTAAAAGTTCATCGGGGGGATTAGGAGGAAACTGGGGGAAAAGATGAAATCCCTAGTCTTTAGAGGTGATTTTTGGATGATTAAGTTCTTTGCAACTTTGGTTTCTGAATTACATGTTGACTACCTTGAAAGAAATCAAATCTTTTTGCTGTCTTTTTGTTTATTGCAATCAAGAAATTTATAAAACGGGATCTGATGATAGATTATATATCTAAACAGTTAGTTGTTGCTAGAGCCTAGTGGTGTCATACAATCCATGTATCTGGCCTCACTTGCTGGGGGAATGCTTCTTGTTATATTGTTTTTGTTTTTGTATTGTTTATTTTGTGACCATTTTGACATTTCTTGTAAGTTGATTTGCAGCTACATCTCTCCCTTTTTTCTCTCCTACCCTCACTTTTCTGACTAGTAGTAGTAACTGGGAATCTTAATCATTGGTTGCAGTCTCAACCTCAGTCCTTGTTGATTTGGTCCTTTTATGTGAATAGCATAGTTTTGGATTTTCCTTGGATTAATGCTATGATCGTCAATGTTTAAGTTTTACACGCATCCCATAATCGTGTTTACATTATATAGCACCCTCTGTTATCTTATTTTCCAGGCTCTGTCTCTTTGATGTGAGGATAGGCATGACCAGCTTGATTCTCTAATTAATTTTCTGCAGTTAATTTTATAATAGTTGTAGAAGTTTCAATCTGTAATCTTGGATTGTGAGTATTAACTAATAGTCAAGACCTAAATTGTGAACTGCAGAGGGTTCCAGATTATTTTTTGAGGAGGTTTGGTGGGGAGCTGTCTACAAGTGCTACCCTCAGTGTTCCTGATGGCAGTGTCTGGCGTATTGGTTTTAAAAAAGCAGACAACAAATTTTGGCTCCATGATGGTTGGAAGGAGTTTGTTCAACGTTATTCCATAGGTGTTGGATGCTTTTTGGTGTTCAGATATGAAGGGAATTCTTCTTTCAACGTTCATATTTTCAATTTGGCTGCTTCCGAGATAAACTATCAATTAGCCAATCGAAACTGTGATGAACGGCCTTACTTTACCAACCAACGTATTTTTGATGACATGGAAGATGAAGATTACAATGAATACTCTGACTCAACACCTTTGCATTTAAACCCTGGTGCATTTAATAACAAGGTCATTACTGGATCTGCGGATCAATTGACACCTGGCAAGAATTATACTCCTTCACCATTGCAGAATTTGTTTAATGGGTCTAAACTTAATAGCATAAACTGGGGAGACACCATTTCTTCAAAGGGTGCCAATTCACAAAACAATCAATTGATGAGAGATAAAGGTGTTCAGTTCAATGCAGCTGAGTTTAAGAGGTCTACTGAAGAGTTGAAATTACGTGCTTCCAATAATGAAATGCAGAGAGTTAAAAAAACTGTAAGAAAAAGGCGGAAAACTGATCCTAGTAAGCTCTAACAGGACTTCATTATCTCTTGTAATTGTTGGTCAAAATATTGAATTTTCTTATGAACTCAGTTTTTGGTTATGCAGATGGTGAGGAATCCGCTCCTCATAATGAAGAGGAGGTAGAAATGCGTTTTAGATTTTATGAAAGTGCTTCTGCAAGAAAAAGAACCGTGACAGCAGAAGAAAGAGAAAGGGCAGTTAATGCTGCAAAAGCATATGAACCGCCTAATCCTTTCTGTAGGGTTGTCCTGCGGCCCTCCTATCTGTATAGGGGATGCATAATGGTGAGCCATTGGATTTAATGTGACAACATTTTGACAAAATCTCTATTTTGGTCCTCCAAAAACGACTTTAGTCCTCCATTGGACTTTTTTGTATCATTTTAGTCAGTTTGATTGTTGATTGTGTTTCATCTTCATAGAATGCTTGATCCTTGAAAGATTGCACAGTATCATTTTAGTACATTTCCAATGAAGTTGAAACCAGGTTACATCTATAAATACCAAAGTGATAGAAGCAATTACTAAGGGAACTAATAATACTGGATTGATCTTTAGAAGGTCAATATGGAGGTTCGGTTAGACCTTTTTTTTTTTTTTTTCATCACTATTTTTTCTCACGTGAACTTTCTTGTGTTTGTTTTCCAGTATTTGCCCTCATGCTTTGCAGAAAAGCATTTGAATGGGGTTTCAGGTTTCATCAAACTCCAGATTCCCGAGGGGAGACAGTGGCCAGTTCGCTGCCTTTATAGAGGAGGTAGAGCGAAGTTAAGCCAGGGGTGGTTCGAATTCGCCCAGGATAACAACCTCGGAGAAGGCGATGTCTGCGTTTTTGAGCTTCTTAGAATGAGGGAAGTAGTGCTGAAAGTTACTATATTCCAAGTCCTCGAAGAAGACGTGGGATTGTTGAACCCTCCCATGCAGCAAAACCCCAGCATGAGCCCAACCCCAAAACTGTTGAACAATCCCATGCAGCAAAATGTGAGCCCTATTAAAATGATTAGAAATTAGCAGCTGCAGATTAATTGCTGACGCCTCAAGTGTATTATCATGTAGCTCTTGCTTCTGTGTGATCAGTTTATCACTCATCTAATTTCTTAATGTGGAACTTAGATGCTTTTTCCTTGTCCATATACATTTCAGGTTGACTTTAAGTGGAACTAAGCTATTGTAGTCTTGTTACGGATATACGTTTTTTCTTTTTTTTTTTGAGACTTTATTTTGATTATGGCTTGTAAATAGATTGTCTGGTCTAGCTTCTGATAGGAAACTTGAGTCGAAACGTTGGTACTTCTGCAGTTTCGCACCTTTTTCTTATTTTCGGGGGCATCTTGTGCCCTAGCCTTAATGTTTATAGCTTCCCCTGATGTTGTGCTGGCTTTTTCTTTTAGGTTAATGATCATTTTTGTTTTTTAATTTTATCTGAAAAGTCATTGGAGGCACTAAAATTAACTCTGGGTTAATTCTGTTTTTAAATTTTATAGATTCCTTCCCTCATTAGTTAACTATTAATGAACCTTACATTATATTTTTTTAATATTTTTTATTATAAAATATTTGAGTTGAGAAAAAGAATGACCCTTAACTTGAAAAAAATATTTTAAAAAATAGTTGGATTCATTAATAATTAATGGACATTAAATAATGGGGTCAAGATGATGAAAGGAAAAATTTTTAATGTTGAGTGATAGAATTAACACATAATTAATTTTAAAATTTTTAGTGATTTTTTAAGTAAAATTGAGGGATAAAAATGATATTTAATTCTTTTCTGTTTTTTCCTACGTTGTTGTTCACACGCAACACACTTTCATATCTTGGTAACTGGTTTTACCTAAAAGCGAAGGCAACACCAAAGTTACAGATTCCTAGACTATGTTCTTGCATGTGTCCAGATGAATGTGACCACGTTGGTAATTGTCTGTGGAATTAATCAGGATAAAGTGCGGAGTCTTTGAAGTTAAATATCATGGACGTCCAATAAGTTTATATTAGAACAGAACAGAACAATTAGTGGTTAATTCCATACAAATGCGGGCTTGATTTTACGGTTGAAGCTATGACTAGTGTATCAAGTGGGGCCGCCCTTCCTGGATGGCAATGCAGCCTCCAATGGATTCTGCACTTTTTAGGGACCCACGATTGGACTTAACTGTCCTGTCCGTGGCTCTGAAGTAGATCGCCTCAATTGAAATGTGCGAGGGCTGACGTACAGGTTGATCCGAGTAGTAAACGGTTTGGTTTTACTTAAATAAGGTCTTAAGTTTGAGGTTTGTGTTCACAGAAAATTTTTGTTGGAAAACTCACCCACCATAACCAAGTATGTAATGTGGATCGAATTTGAATTAATCAAGGTGAAGCTTTGAATATCAGATGGGCAATTTAAAAAAAAAAAAAAGTGCGAGGGCTGTAGCCAAAACCTTGCCTTTAATTTATTTTTTGGTAAAAGATGATACTTTTTTTTTCAGGCATAAAAGAAATTGATAGATGTTTTTTATAAATCATTTTACATAAAAAAAACTATTAATTGTTTTCTTCTAATTTTATCTTTTTATAATTTTTTTATAAATAGGATAAGAGATTGCATAAGAAAACAAGTTTTTAAAAATGATGCATTTATTAAAAGTAAATTAAATTTTTTGTAGATAATATAAATGATTTAATACCTCTTTTCCTTTCTATGATAATGTCATCTGTCTCTGCCAAAGACATTTTTTTCTTGCATCAGGAGAAGAAACCAAAGAAAAAGAGGATTGAAAAAAGAGAGAGAAATATGTTAAGATGATAACATGCAACTAGCTTGCTACTAAAGAAAAGCTAATCCAAGTTTTACGCATAAAAAGCATATATATAACTTAAAACTTACAAAAAAATTATTTCTCAGAGAATAAATGGAGACACAAGACATGACCTCATAAAAGATTAAGTATATTATTAATTTGATGCAAAAGAATTACAAGCTAACTGATGGAATACAAACAAGCGCAACAGCAGCAGCAAGCAAAAACCGAAACGACAAAGCCTTGCAGAAAGACATGAAAGTGGCATGCATGCGTGAATGTATGTACAGTCACATGTTCATGTTCATTCAGCGATCTGCATAATGTCTGACGCGAAATATTTGAACTCTCAACACAAAGTTAATACTGTGGAGCAACTCAAAGACACAGACGTCCCCTTCCTTGATCTGATTGTCCTCCTTAAACTTGGCCCAGCCTTCTCCTATGTTCATCCCATTTCCAGCCCCATTCCTGGGAAAGCATCGAGCTTCCCACTGCTTCCCCCTCCCGTTCTCCAGTCTTATCTTCTTGTCTGATGACCCTCCTCCCAAATACTTCACTGCAAAACGTGCTGGCACATACTGCTCCACCACCACAATCATCGTTGTCGTCGTCATCATATTAGTACTTGTAACACAACTAGGTTTGGAGAAGCTATTGGGAACATATCAAGTATTGGACGAAGTTATGCTATTGGGAATAGGTAAAGTGGACTAACACTTCAGTTCCAGAAGATCAATTTGATAACAAACAGTTAAGTCTAGAAAGTTTTCTATAAAACATACTCCCCTTTGTCCAAAATTTAAGCCCTTTTTCCCTCCTAATCTTAATCTAAAATATAAACAACTTAATATTTGTAGAAATTTTTTTCTCATTTTAACCATTATATTTATTAACCTAGATTCTTGTATTTAATTTATAATATTCTTCTTACTCATCATAAATTATAACTAAGAGCAAAAAGGAAAAATAATATATTTTTTATGAGAATAAGAATTATATTAGCATGCGGATTAAGCTACTTATATTTTGGAACAAAGGGAATAAGTTGCAAATATTGATTAAGCATCAGCAAATATGAAAACCTCAACTGCAAATCAGGTATTTAAGTCATATAGGTCACTCCTAATGAGTATCAAATTTTCAATAACTCTCCTATTAGCAATTGTACGTCAGGATCTGGTATTGCATTAACAAGGTGTCTATATATATATAAATATATATAGTAAGAATTTCATATTGAATAACAATAATAATATAATTAATAAACATGTTGCACTTACCATAAAACTGTTGTATAAGTTGTGAGGTCTCAAGACAGCCCTGAAATAAGGAAAGCGAGATCTGTAGTTGTCAGCAGCTTGGATAACCTTGGTTCTCACTCTATCTGATATGTGCCTCTTTTCGTATGATTTTGACTTCACTGTTTGTTTACCAACATATTCCACGTGGTCTATTTTCTTCGCTCTCCCTCCATGCCTTCCTTCTTTGGATCTTCTTCTTTTATGATTTGAACCTCCGTCACTTTGTTCATCACCACGTTCACTGGCACCGCGTTGATGCCTCTTTCTTTTTCTTCGAAATGCAGATCTTGAAGAAGGAGAAGAATACTCTTTTCTTCTCTCTCTTTTTGATGATTTATCGATGAATTTGGTGAAGCCTCGTCTTTTTGTTGGAGAAGTGGATTCAGATGGAGAAGTAGAAGTAGATTTAGATGAAGAAGTGCTATAGTAGGGATCATCTTCTTCATATGCATGAGTAGAATCATCCTCGTCATCAGGAAAATATTCTTCAGTAAAGTGATGGTCAATACCAATATCATTATCATTATTACTATCACTATCATTATCAATATCATTGTGGTTGTCATTGTCATTTTGACTCCGATGATAATCATGGTGGTTGCTCTTTGATGATTCCGATGAGGCAACCTGGTTTCTCTCAGGACTTAGATTTTGGGAAGGATATTGAATTTCTGATCCAGTCATGTCGAATATTAGAACATGGAATCTTGAATCTCCTTCGTATCTGAAAACCAGAAAGTGTTCGTTGGTGATGGAATAGTATTCCAGAAACTTGTCCCAGCCTTCTGAGAACCAAACATCATCATCTTCACTCTTCTCCAAGCCAATTTTCCATTCTCGAGCATTAGGATCATGTAAGGTAATGATTGGAGAGAAATCATCCCCATGCTGATTCACAAACGCCTTAGGAACTCTCTGCAAATATCAACAAACAAAGCACATTTAAGTGAATCTCTGTTTCCTCAGTAAACAAATCATTTTTTGGCTCAAGGATTAAATTGTATCCAACTCTATCGCGTAAACAAAAGAATCTTCTTCTCACAGCGATTTACATATGCATTATTCAAATTTAAAATGAAAATCTACACTTTGTTTTCAGAGCTCCAGCAGCATTGAAGTCTGTCTCTGTTTTCCCAGAAAACAAAAGGATTTTTTTCGCTGGAAAAAAAAAACAAATAGATTAAGGTCTTTTTATTTGGCTAGATATTGAACTATGTCTATCTCAATCGGTATAACAAAGTAAGTATCTTTAATTCCCACAAATTTGGAATTTGCAATGGAAGCATCTCATCCGCTTCTGTTTGGTTATCTTGGGAACAAAACAGAGCACAATCTAGCGAGCAAGCGAAACTCCTATAGCATCATCACGAGACTCCAATTTTCTCAGAAACCAAACAGAACATTCATAATTTTAGAGAGTGGGGAAAGAAGCAAGAAAGCAGACTGAACATTACCAATTTTTTGTCAAGAATCGCAGTAGGAAGTATTATCTTGAAAAAGTGGGCCGGTTTGCCGTCCGGCAAGCTTGATCGCCACCGGGGATTTGCTTCCTCGTCCATTCTCTTCAAATTTTCTTCGATTATTGTTCCAAAAGAGAAATGTCCCTCTCAGCTATTTTGCAAAATTTAATGCAGGTTTTACAGTATTGAATTTGAACATACAAAAATAAACGAAAACGCATTGAGGCATTAATTTGTTAATTATTCATCATATCAATTGTTTTATTATCTGTTTTATGTTAAAATAAACAATAATTTTCATTCATACGCTTTTTTATCGTCATTTAAATTTAATATTCTAGTTTCCAAAACGATGATTTGATTTTTCCTATGATTCGCTGAATCACGTTTTACAGTGGCAAAATTATGATATTTTTTATTTTTAAAATCTAATTAGTGTAATTTTTCTTTTTCCCCCTGAATTTTGATATAAATTTTCATAAAATAAAAAAATAATCACATATTTTAACTTCATTTTAAATTTTATTTAAAAAATTATAAATTTTAAAAATACATCTAAAATTGATGAAACATTTAAATTTAAAGGATAGTAACTTTTAACTAGATATCTTTTTAAGAGATATTGTTGATTAAAAAAAATATCTTGCAATTGTGTTGAAAAGTAAGATAGTATACAGGAATTTTTTTTTTTTTCCCGACGGGAAAGAATTCGATAATTGCAGTGGACTATTTTCTGGAAACTAATAATAAATTGCCTCGTGTTCCGCACCTTCTCGCGCTTCCTATGAGTATTCACACGGGTTATTTAGATTGAGAAAACTAACTAGAATTCTTATTGAATCAATCAAAGATTTAGGTCATGATTTAAACAAATAAATTCCTCATTGAATTCATAATTTCCTTCGAGATACTATGTTGCAAGTCAACGAGGTATATTACTTGACTAAGTTGGTATGAAGAAAAGTTCATTCCATGACTATTTTTTTTAATAAACAAGATTATTTAGATTAAGAAAAATATTTTTTCAACCAAAGATTATGAAAAATAATTTAAATATTCTATAGTGTTGCTTGGAAAAAAATAACTAGTAATCAAGTTCATACTATAAATTACTCACACCAATTCTTATTATAAGAATCTATTGACAGTTTCACAAATATTAAGAAAATGTGTTAGATGTATTTAAATATAAAAAACAATTTTTTAAAACTACCCTTAATCAAGTTAAAATGAGAAACATATAAGAATATTGAAGATAAAATACTTTAAAAATGAGAAACAAAAATTTCATTAGTTTTAACTAGGAACACATAAAACAAGAAAATTTTTTAAGATTAAGGGGCAAAAATATCTTAAAAGTTTTCTTAAAGTAGTACTCAGTATCCTTATTTTTTAGAAGAAGCAATGGTATTCCTAAAGTGTTAAAAGTGGAGCAATCTCATCCTTTTCTAACCTTTGACCAAGTTTGACTAATGAATATACAATTGGGAAGTCTTTTGCACTAGATGAGACCACACGTGGACTAACAAAGAACATCTCACTTGCCCCAATCTCTATCATCTCCTATGTTCCTTCTCTCATTTGCAACTAAATAAGCTCCTTTTGCTGTCCTCCTGATCAACCTTAGATTTATCATTGAGTTCTCAAGGCTTAACCCTGGAGATCGTCAATCTTCAAACAATAGAGAGGCAAGGGTAGTGTTAGGTGTAAAGTCACTTTCATGAACCTAGGTACCTCTAATTCTGATTTTCTATTCTTGTTTGAATTTTATTTTCTAATATTAATAGCCACTATGATTGACTCCATTCGATCTCACAACCATTGCATTGACTCTGTCCGATCTTACAATTGTCGCTGGTCATCGACTCCGATTTACTTCCCTTGTCATCCAATCTCAAAGATATGAAAGAACCAAAAATCAAAAAATGGTTTATGGGTTCTAAGATTGATGATGATGATGGAGATGACTAGAATGTGAGGCCATATCCATCAACTTTGATTAACTTCCCCTGATCTTGCCTATCTTGTATAGCTAGGGAAGGTGGTTAGAGTGTGAGGCTAGTTCTTTAGCTTTAAAGGTGCACAAGTGTCATGCTTTTGGGTTTTATAGGTTTCAATTTCTAGGTTTTGGTTCAATTTTAATGACATATGGTTTTGATATCGTTTGATCTTTTGTGTTTGATTAAAATAAACATGATGTTTTTTTTTGTTGGGTTTAATTGCTTTGTTTAAACTTGAAGGGTGTTCATGAAGCAAGTTGTACTCATTCTAAACTTCTCAAGTCCACTAGTGATCTGACTAGAGAGAGAGTAATAAAATTGCCATTGGGTTGGTTTCACTGTCTTTATCAAGTTCTCTCACACTTATTTCTCCATCATCATCTCAAAGCTTTTGCATATTCCTTGAGTGACTTGAAGGTTTGGAGCATGATCGGCAATAGTAATAAGATGAGGGGAATGTTTTTGGTTTAATGCTTTTTTGAAGAATTAAAAAGAATTCGAGAATATGAGTAAATTCAAAAGGGCTCTATTATGTGGCTTGCCACATCAAACTTTTCAACACCTCGTTAATCAAACATTAGTCAAATGTTAGAAAAGAGCGAGATTGCTCCAATTTTAACACTTCCAAGGTATTATTGCTTTTCCTAATAGGAAATTGGGTGTTCCTTTGAGAAAACTTTTAGAATATTTTTTTCCTTTAATCCTTTTTTATTATATACATGTACTCTTCTATTTGAGACAATCATATTCCACACTTAGTAAGATATTAAATGTGAGAACCTTTTACAATATAAATTTTAACATTAGTTAGTCACTTTACGAGAAATTAACCCTTTCTATTAGACTTAACCCAACATTTTTTAATGCAAAAAATAATGATATAACTTTATGGTGTATAGCAATGTCTCCATCCACATTCATGACTAGCAACGACTCATGATAGAGTAAGGACGACAACACAACAACAATAAACCTTATCCTATTAGGTGAGGTTGGTTACATGAATTGTATAGTATTATTGTACTCTATCATTTACTAAAATTTTAGGAATGTTGTTAACTAGAAATTCTCAGCCAGCAACTTCTGTAAGTGTACTTTTTAGCCTTCTATGACCCTTCTTAACAAAACTCAAAATTATTTATTACACTCTCCTCACTAATGTCTCCCACAATTTTTTTTGTACATGTTCAAATTATTTCAAATGATTTTCTATTATTTTTCTCCCAATAGATGCTATGTTCACTTTTTCTCATTTATGTTCATTTTAAATTTTATCTTTACATGTATGCTCACACATTCATCTCAACATTCTTATCTCTAATACTTTAAATTTATGCTCTTATTATCCTATTAAAGCCCAACACTTACTACCATATAACATAGTTGGTTTTATAATAGTGAAATAAAAATTTTCTTTAAGTTTATTATGTACCTTATAATCGCAAATAACTCATTTAACATTTCTCCAATTAAACCACCCAACTTGTATCATATATGCAATATTCCTATCAATTTTCCCATCATGTTGAATAATAACTCTCAAATATCTAAACTTTTTTAGTTGAAATATAATTTGATCTTCCAATTTACTTTCAAATTACTATTGACTGACTTTTTATCAAAATTATAATGTAAATATTTTGTTTTACTCCTGCTCAAGGAGAAACATTTTGACTTCAATGTCCTCCTCCATAATTCAAGTTTATGATTAATATTTTTTCTTGCCTCCACAATAAGACCTATACCATCCACAAAAAAACATGTATTTAGAGATTTTCTCTTGAATATGTTTAGTCAAAACATTTAGGATCAAGTCAAATAAATAAGAACTCAAAGATTATCTTTGATGTAGTCCAATCCTTATAAGAAAGTCCTTTATTTTACAGCCAAACGTTCTCATATTAGTTGTTACCCCCTCATACATATCTTGGATAGCTCTAATATAGGCAATCCGAACTCTTTTTTTTTTCTAAGACTTTTTAAAGTACTTCTTTCAGTATATAGTCATAAACTTTTTTTAAATCAATGAAAATCATGCATAAATCTTTACTTTTGTATTAATACTTCTCCATTAATCCCTTTAGTAGATAAATCGCTTCTGTAATTGCCCTACCTAGTATGAAGCCAAATTGATTCTTAAAAATACCAATCTTCAATCTCAACCTATACTTAATCACTCTTTCTCACAATTTCATTGTATGACTCATAAGTTGAATCCCTCTATAGTTAGCATAATTCTAAATATTCTCTTTATTTTTGTAAATGGGAGTTAAGATGCTTCTCCTCCAATTGTTAGACATTTTCTTAGATCGTAATATCTCAATAAATAATTTAGTTAACCACCACACCCCTTCTTAACCTAAATATTTTCACACTTCACTAAGGATTCAATCAGGTCCATTGATTCTACCATTTGTTATTTTTTTTAAAAGCTTTCTTCATCTCAGTATCACATATCCTTATATAGATATAATATTTTTAAAAAAGATAATTTTTTTTACCTTTATCTCTCAGAGAAGCTTTTCATTTATACTCTTGCTCCGGGGAAAAATTGTGTATGCTTTAACTAACATCCTTTCCTATTTCAACCAACACAAGTGGTCAAAGTTGAGATTACAAAATTTACAGACATATTCTCCCGCCGCCGGGGAGGGGGGGGGGTTTGGAGCCTGGCGGATTGGCCAGCAAAATTTTGTTCAACAGGATTCAGACTTCGGTAACATTACAAGTAAAAACATACTATATTTTACAGTTTATGTAAAAACATACTATATTTTACAGTTTATGTATGTATTCCGGAAGAAAAACATAGTAACATTTAAGTTGCAATCTAGTATCCATAGGATTTGCATTTATACATGTTGACACAAGTATCTAAAAAATCCAACAGATAGTTGGATAAAGCATAATATCAGCCTTGTCTTGTGTAATTATAATTACCATATAAAGGTTATTTTATATCACATTTTCAAGCCTCTTCCTGCTTAACAAATTGTGAATTAACCAGCTTCAAACCTTCAGTGGTTATGGTGGAATCTGCAACTTTGCTGTGAAGTCTCTGGTACTCAACCAATCTGTCTGAAATGGTGGGTCTTATAGTTCTTGCCATTCTGAGACCAACTATTCCTGAAACTATCAGAATAGCACAAAAGATCCAACTGAACTGTAAATTAGCAAGAGCTCTGGCCCTAAAATCAGCCTCATCAGAGCTACAAGAAATTGCTCCAAGCATGCTATGATTATGACCCATTCTGGTCTTGCCTAGATCATTCATAGAACACCCTTGAGGGACAAAAGCAGGAACCCACAGCATGAATCCCATGTTGAGAAACCAACAACCTTGGAACATGACAGAAATGGAAAGAACAAGTGCTGCTTGAAAACTCTTGGGGAAAAAAGTTGCAGCAATAGCTGCTAAAAGTGAGATGAACACTATGAGTTGAAGCAACCAGTGGTAGTGTCCTTCAATTCCAACGTGGTCGGTGGAGTGAAAATGAAGCAAAAAGAACTCTTGAGTAAATACTGAGGATGCAAGGATCCCAACAAACCCAGACAAGAGCTCAAATGAATCAGTCAAAAACTCTGCAAAAAGGATGAAGCTTGCAAACACAGCAAGCTGTATGAACATGGTTACATGCTCAAAACTGTCAAGCTCGAGAGTGAAGTGAAAGGAAGGAAAATCCAGAACTTGAAGGGAAATTGCAAGGATGGAGAAAGATAGAATGGAAATGAGCTCCAAGTGTTTGAGTCTACAATGAAAGACATTGAATTGGTACCAGAATCTCACGGTGAAATTGGAAGGGCCTCTCCCAAAATAAGCTTTGATGGTGTTGATGGTGTGCCACAGTCCAAGAAGGAAGAGTGCCAATCCAGGCACTATGTGTCCTATTAACGTGCCCATGTGAACGGTATTTTGTTCTTTGCTTCAGAATTTAGGCGTTTCCAAAGAAGAGGCATTTTTACAAACACCTTGCCTGCAACTTATAAAGAGCCACAAGCCGAGAAAAGTAAATCTATGATTTTAGTCCTCACGTTTGGATCTTGGTGCTTTTTGCATGTGTTTCCACATAATGCACAAGAAGACAGTTTAAGAGCAAAGTTAAAGAAAATCAAAATGAATGGGCGTGCCACTTTATCAGAAAGCTTTAGGTACCTGTAACTTTCCTCAACATATTTGGGTTTTGTTTCTTTTTGGTAGTTTATAAAGTTTGTATGAAAGTATGAATCCTGACGCCCTTTGGAAGTAGAAGCAATGTATTTGCTTCTTAATTAGATCTATTCTGTTATTTTATATTCATAAAATTGGAAGCATATTTACAAACATCAATTCAAATATTTCATATTTGCATTTGGAGAAAAACACACAAAAAGAATTAAAGGTATAAATATAGTATATATTTTAATGCATATATAATCATATTATTTTATATATTTTTTAAATCAAACAAATATATAAATATAGAAGATGGAAAGTTTAAATCAACTAAATGGAGTACATTACTTTATCATATAAACAACTTTTCAAAAAATACAAATAGACGAGCACGCAACTTCTTTCTTAAAAAAATAATAATTAAAGACCCTTTAAGAATATTAATTTTAATTAAGGATCATCATATTTTAAAATCTCAGTTAAAAATCGTGGTCCTTAATTCAAATAAAAAATATAGTTTAGAAGGTGAGATTCACTAATGTCACTTAAAAATTTACTAATTCAATTTGAGAAAATTACTAATATATCTTATAAAAACATGAAACCTCACTTGAAAATCGATTGTTTAATAAAAATGACACTTGAGAATTCACTAACCAAAGTTGAAAAAATTTCTAACGTATATTATAAAAAATGAAACCCCACTTAGAAATCGATTGTTTAACCAAAAAAAACCTCAATTTTGATCAGTCACTTTTTGTTAAATAATCAATTCTCAAGTAGGGTTTCATTTTTTCACAATATATGTTAGAAATTTTTTCAAGTCTGATTAGTGAATTTTTAAGTGACGCTTTTTGTTAAACAATCAAATTTCAATTAGAGTTTCATATTTTCACAATATACATTAAAAATTTTTTTAAATCGAGTTAGTGAATTCTTAAATGACACTTTTTATTAAACAATCTATTCTCAAATGAGGTTTTATGTTTTCACAATATATGTTAGTAATTTTTTTAAGTTGGGTTAGTGAATCCCCAAGTGGTATTAGTGAATTTCACCTTACAAACTATATTTTTTTATTTTAATTAAGGACCATGATCCTTAACTGAAATTTCAAAATGTTATAACCCTTAATTGAGATTAATATTCTTATAGGGTTCTTAATTCTCATTTTCCCTTCTGTCTTTGACAATCACTAGTGTGAAGTCTGAAAAAGACTGCAAGCCTGAAGCGTCCTCTTCAATATCCTTAAAATGAAGTCTCATTTAAATTTATGAAATAAAAAATTATTTTAAGAGTGATTTTTTTTTTTTAAGTAATTGGACTTGAGCATAGATTAATTGGTAGAATTGGATTTCGCAGGTCTTATTACCCAAAAGTAAAGAAATACTAATGTCTTTAAAGCTCTTCAATTTATCAAGCATTTGCGCAATTCTGTTTTATGAGGTCAATCATGGAATTACCTAAACAACGTATGACGTGGTTCCCAATATGCATATTTCACTCATCTCTCTTATTCAACGACGTCCCTAAACACACTTATAGTGCACGTACTTTGATCAAGCAATATATTTTGTTCATCTCAGACGTTAATTTGATTGTCAAAGTTAATGTCAGATTTCCACGGTCCATGAGTCTTGTACGAATGAATATTCAAACTTGCGATGGGTGATGGTGCAAGGGAGTGACCACTTATGATCTGTAATTGGAAATCCGCATCAGAGTGGGGGATCGTTATGACATAACTCCCACTACCACTATCTATAAAATGCCAAATTTAACTTGCCCTTCCGTGCCCAAAATTACCACTCGATCCTGGTTACATGATAAAAAGGGCTCTTCATTATTACTTTCTTTCTGTTTATGTAATTGTGACCCCTAAAGGTAACCCTATCTGCAATATAGTGGAACTGAAATGTGCCCAATAAATTCAGTGACCAACAACGTGTTTCCACTTGTCCATCAAATTAATGGTGTAACGTTCTCCATCTGGTCAATTTAAAGTTAACATGTAAATCACATCAAAAGTGGCCAAGCCAGATCCTCATCATGTTAACTTAAACTATAATGACGGACGGCGGATGAAGCTTATTCTTCTTCTTCTTTTTTTTTTTCAAATAAGATGTTTATTTTAGTTGCTAAACGAAGCTCAGAGCTCACGCTTGACCACTACAGAAAAAGTTGACCGTACAATTTATAAAGTGATTTCCTTTACTTTCACAAACTTTGTCGGATTGGCGTGTTGAACACATACTATAGCCGCACCCCCCACATTTGCATAAATCTTTTATATTATTTATATCCAATTTAAAGTACTAAAGTTTATAATCACAACTTCCTAAAATATAAAATATTTGATATGAACAAATCTCTTTTGAAGTGCCCTGTGAAAATTACCCCCAAATCCACAAAGACTTGCGATCTTTTTTCCCCATTAATTGTAGAACTAAGGATCATTTAATGCAGACACCAAAGTTTACGTGACTCCAGACAGTTCGTATAGAATCTCTGCAAGCTACAAGAGATGTAGTGACAAATTAAATCCCCATTTAGTGCTGGCCACTATTGTAATCGTTCTATCCAAATCTAATTTCAACAGTTTACACTTGAAGTTTTTTTAAAAAAAATGACAAACCGAAAGATCATCTTCACTTCAAAATTTACATTCTTAAAAAAAAAAACTTTAAAAACATTAATTTTAGCAGTTCAAATTCAAAAACAGTTCTCCACGTAGTCATAAATATACAGGAAAAGGAAGGACTTGTTCATAAAGCATAGAAGGCTTGGCCATTTCCATTGGCGTCCTCCATTACAAGCTAGTACACAATTTGTCGTTTAAATAACCTCGGGCTAAAGGAATAATGCAACAAAATTCTTAAGGCTACCCCACAGGGCTCACTTTTCACTACTAAAGAGTATGGATAATGAATAATTCTAATAAAAAAACAGTATTCTTGTTAAACCACATTATATTATAATAGTTCTCTCTCCTTTTTCATCTCAAGTCTCAAATAAAAAATTCCTGTCTGCAAGAAATGGTTTGTGTATGCTATGATCAATGATGCCACACCAAAAAATCTATAGCTGCCTCCGTTTCAGAACATCTGCAAGCCAAAGCATTCAGTCCTATACCCGGAAGAAGCGTAACCATTTACTATTCTTTACCAATCAACATGCAGTACCAAGTTTTGTAATTGCAATATATCAACCTATCTTTCGGCTTTCACCACCTTGAAACCTACATAATGTGGTTATGTGAACAAAATATGAGGAGAAAAAAATAAAGGAAAAAATTCAGATTCAATGAAACACTACAGCTATCACCAAGAAGGAACAATGGCAAACTAAGGACCTTGATAAGCCATGTTAAGCCATTGATTCCAATTACAGACCTCCAATTATCAAAATTTCATTGAAGGACCATTGGGAGACAACCCCATTTCCGAGTAGGCTAACTGATTTTCCCAAGTGGTTTACTTGGAATTCACAACTGTTATATGTGATTTAGTAGTCTCATTCACAATTTGTAGAATTAATTTGAACTTTTTTTTTTCCCTTACAATAGAAATACTAACAGAATCAACTGTGAAAACACATAGAATCAATTGGGAATTCCAGATAAGCCACTTGCAAAAATTAGGTGATTCACTTGGCAACGGGGTTGAAGACACAGATCAGATAATTGACATCAACATAAAGCACCAGCAACGCCCCAAAAAAAAAAAATGATTCCACATCCGTTTAGAGCTTGGCAGTAGAGTTTTATGTTACAAGGTTTTGATCTCACAAACAAAAGTGAGTGGGAAATGCTGATGAGAAATGCCAAAATAGGAAAAACTGATATGGCAAATCAGCAAACGCCAAAAACATATAAAAAGGAATTGGCAGTGAACATGCAAGATTTTAATCTCCACCTGAATATCTTCAGACAAGTTAGTTATCCATTATACAAACAATTATATTTTGAGACCTTCTCCACCATACATCAAATAAAGCACAACATGAAATGAGTGTGTCACCATGATCAATTGACACTAGAGTCAACAAACTTGCCCTGTCAACTTGATAAGAAACTCTTAGACTACAAGGTCATTACCAATAATTTGATGATTATTGAATAGTAAGTTTATGACCTACTTTAATCCTTGTTATCTCCACCAATATAAATATATATATATATATATATATTTATTTATTTACCAATGAGCCATAGCAATAACTTGAAATTTAGACACAACCTCTCATGTTTCTTTCTTAAACCATCCGCATGCACGATGATTCAGGAAAATCAAGACTAATGGTGCTGTCCTGGTTCTTAGAGAGTACAAATCCCTGTACATCACTGTCATCTATAACACACGAGTGCTCTTTTTTTTTTTCTCTCTTTTCGGGAAGTACATAGCGATTTCAAGGATAAAAACCAGGAAAAGCTTACTGATGCTATTATACAATTCAATTAACAGAACAAGCACAATAATCCGTTTAAAGTCAGAGTGAATGAAAACTTAAACTCTTACTACCATCTTTGCCCTCTTGTTTTCCACATATATCATGCCCAATGAATAATTAAGAAGGGAGAGATTCAGGCCAGAAAAAAAGAGAGAGATTGAGATTTTTTTGGGATTCTTTTTGGCGGGGAAGGGGTAGCAGACAGACCTTAAAGGCAACATATTAAGCAGTCAATTGCACCTTTTTGTTCCACACTCTACATCTACACTCTACAGGCCTAAACAAAACCTAGTTTGTACTGTTAACTAGATTACACGTTAGTATAATTGCTCCATGAATAGGCAAGCCAGAAAAAAAAAAAACAGAAAGCAATCCCAGGATGTCAATAAAAGAAGAGGATCATCAAGTTTTGACAATCAAACCAGCTGAATTCGAAATCAGATACATGACATGTATAATGTATATGCATATATATATTTTGGGGGGTTGCAAAGACCCGAAAGAAGCACATTAATTAAACTCTTGGATACTGAAAAGGAAAAAAGTTGGAAAAAACCGAATCAATCAACAGATAGCAGGGGTTGTAAAAATTATTAAGAACCTGCAATCTAGGCGATGGTAATGGCTTGTTGCTTTGGCGGCTCGAGATGATTCTTAGAATTTTGATCGTCAAGAAAATCCTCAATGTTATATATGACAGTGATATACAGGGAGCAACTAGGGCATCGTGCAATCTCTTCGCCTAGCTTAAGGTCTTCCTTTGTGATCTGGAAGAGGTCACCACATGGACAAGGGTACGTATAAGCCTGGAGCTCCCCGTTCCACTCCATGTCCTCAATCTCCACATCATCATATGACATCTTTTATTGCTCCTTTTCTTCTCTGCACCAACAAAGGACCGTTAGAAGTTGAAGTTCGACATGAAGAGACCAATGCTGTTTCAGATTCCTCTGCGAAGGCGTAGACTGCATCCTCTTTAACCAAAATACTGAAAACTAAACTGGCCATTGAACCAGCCAAGTTCAGGGGGCAGGTTTCAACCAAGGTCGAACGGGTCAACTCAAAATCAGACTAGTCATAATAAAATAATATAATTTAAGTAAAAACACATTATCCAAAACTTAATATAACTCTCAGTTCCATGACTAATAGGATTTCTTCCAATACCCATGTTCAATGACTAAGATAGCTCCAATCTGCAAGCTACAATAATTTGGCCACAAATAAACAAACAATACAAAAAGAATAGCTTAGCACAATTCCAACAACCATTCAGAAACTTAATTTCATAATTAAAGCAAGCTCAAATTTACTTCAATCCTTGATAATATGTTCAAATCAGTAGACAAAAATTAATTTCACAATTAAATTTCTCAAGCACACAAATCAGTAGCACGAGTAGAGAACAGGGCAAAAGTCATACTTAACAACAGACTCGATGAACAAAAAAGCAACACCAGAGTCCAGTCGTTTCAGACATCAGAACATGTATTTCAATAGCAGGCGTCAGCCAAGATAAAGTATTTCAGAAGCAGAGTTGACTGATGGGGAGAGAGAGAGAGAAGCTGCACCTGAATCGGGTGGGGCGGGAGGGAGAGCCTCTGTCGGAGGTCGAAGACGAGCTAGACCCACAGACCCACGAAGCTCGAAGAGAGCTCACTGCTCAGGATGACGGACGACGGACGAACGGAGACCGGGAGAGCGAGAAGAGACCGGTAGGACAGAGGAGAGAACGCGAGAGCGGGGGGAGGAAGATCGAGGAACTGGAGTTTAGGGCTTCAGGCTTTCGCGTTCTTTGTTTCAGGTTGGGAATAGGCCAGTCCTTCATGTGAGCCCATAACATAACCTACTTCAAATCTAACATCACCTATTTACTAAATAAATTAAAATCAAGTTAAGCCTAATCTAATTAAATAACTCATATTTATTTTTTAAAGCCTAATCTATAAGCTTATTAAGCCAGTTTATTTATATATACTATGTAATATATCACAAACACATTAATTTTATCATTTAATTTTTAATTAATTTATTTTTTTATTTTTAATTATATTTACAATTATATTAGACTTATATATTAATCTTAAATCTTAATGTTATTACTTTATTGTTATATTGTATTGTAATTAGTAAGTCTTTTCAATTATTATATATTGTAATTAAGAAAGTAGGTTATATATTGTGTATTATAATAGTCATAAAGTATATTTGAAATATTTAAAACTAAAATGCGAGTATATTTAAAAAACTTACTTTTAAATATGTTTTTAAATAGGCTTTTAGATTAGGTTATGCTTTAAATAGGCTTAGACATGAGTTATGAAAAAAAAAAGCCTTATATTTAGGTCAAGCTTAAACCTCTAATTTATCTCAAAGGCTTAGGCCTATTTGGGCAAAGCCTAGCTCAACCTTGCCTATTTTCACCTCTAGTTTCAATATATATATATATATATATATATTATAATAATATAATTAATATATATTTAAAAAAACATAACTTTTATTCCTGCACTATGCTCGAGTTTTTTTTTAGGTCTCGCACTTTTCTCGAGATTTGATATAGATTCAAGACTTGCAATAAAACTTAAGTAAAGTGCAAAGATCTAAAACTATGTTTTTCCTTTCTTTATTTTTGGACAAAAGGTCAATACCTACAAAGTTATTGGCTTTAATAGTATAAAGTGAGAAAAAGGATGAGAAAACTTATAACACCATTTTAGTAAGGGCAAGAGTAACCAAACCATTAATTTGCTATGAGATCCATTAATTTTTTAAGTAAAATGCTGAGTATGCGTGTCACATGTCAATATTAACTATTTGAACTGCCACCTGTCAATGTTTAAGATTTAGCTTGAAAGAGGAAGAGATTCGGAGAGTGAGAGGAAGCATTCTTATTAAACCACCACCAACATCATCATCCTCATCTTCTTCATTGTTGTCTCGCTTAAGCTAAGAGTCAAACTTGCAATCACAGAGCCCCGCCTAAGATGTTGACCCAACGACACTTGAAACCACTCTCTTGATGAGAATATTGCGATATTAAGGAGGTCAATGGCCGAAGATTTGAACCTTCCCATAAGACCCTACTTTTTCGATGGAAGGTTAGAATAGCCAGACTAAATGCACTAGAACCAATTCTTTGCTTCTTCGCTCGTCACGCACAATCTAATCATCCATTCATAGTCTCTCATCAATCAACGAAAAGGATGTTATCCTCACTGTGCAAGACGAAGATGAGATTAAGGTCTAGAAGCCTTGAGAGTCCAGTTTGACATTAAGAACCAAGTCAACTTGAATCGCTACCTTGGTTCTTGTCATTGCCTCTGTAACATCCTGATTTTTAATTCCCTAATTAATTAAACCTAATTAGGGTAATTAAGTAAATTGAAGTAGTGTGTGGCTAGATAGGTCTAATAATCATGTTTGATGCTATTTTAGCCCTAATTGTAGGTCTGGTATTGAGGCAGACCACCCGGGCATCGAAAGGAGAAGAAAAGGAAGAGTTAAAGTTGCTGTGCCACACGCTGCAGAGCGTAGATTGTCCACCATGATGCACAACCATCTCTGAGCGAGGGAGGATCTCTTTGTGTCATACACCATGGCACATTGTGCGTCCGCCACGGCGCATGGCCATTTTCTGCACTTTATCAGACGCGAAATGAGACAAAAAGAGAAAGAAGAGAAGAGAGAGAAAGAAGAGGCGTGTTAAAGCTCTGCTAGAATTTGCTTGGGGACTACTTTGAGTGTATTTTGAAGGCTACAAATACCCAAGGTAAGTATCATACTCATTAATCTCCTCTTTTCTTCCACATTTATGAGTTTATAATTAGGGTTTGATAGTGGAAGTGGGATTTCAATCCATATAGGTTATGGGTCCGAATTTATTGACTCAAATGGAGTTAATGGGGGTAGATTAAAGTATTTAAACCTAGGTATGATGATTTTTAGTATTTTGGATTGTTGGGCACCATTAATGTCTGAAAATCCCATTTATTGTGGGTGATTGAAAGTTTGCGATGCCATTAATGGAGATTTAATGGCTCATTAATGTTATTGGGGGTTAAAGGTAACCATTAAACCTAATGGTTAGGCTCCATCTCTTGTAAAGTGAAGGTTGGGCAATTTAGAAGTAGAGATTGAGGGTTCAAATGTTTAAGTTCGTTATGTTGATGGAATTCAACTTGGTTGATTATAGTTTTGGCTCTTGGTCATCTATTAGAGTGGAAATTCAAACTTGAAAGCTAATTGATTGAGGGGTAAACCTTTGACCTCTCAAAAGTTTGAGGTAATTGGAGGGAAACTCTACTTGAGGTGGTTGTATGTTAATTAAGTGTTAATTGATTGTTGAATGTGAATGGTGAATGTTACATGTATCATATTGATTTTTATGTAAAACTATATATTAGTTTTCAATGAGTATATGAAAATTTGACTGAGCACAATGCTATTTTGGCTTGAAATGCAAAATGCAAGGTTAAAAAGATTTTACTATAAAAATGCTTATGTTTTGAAAAATGAATGCGATAATGAGTAGAGATATTTATGTATTAGTAAGGAAATGAATTTGAGAAATGATGAGAATACACATTTGGGTAGCACAAGATCATGAGCCCAATGTGGTTGTTGTAATAGTGAGTAAATGAAAGCGAAAAAGTAAAGTTAAGTAAGTAATAATTATGGCATAATCAACAGCAGGAGTTTACCTAGAGATTTAGGAGTAGAGACAATCCATATGATAATTAGACTGCCCTCCAGTGCATAGGGGCTATAGCCTTGTCCCATTGCTTGTCGAGGGACTTTCCCATAATTTATCGAGAGACAAGAACCTAGCTATCTCTACTGATTCAATGAGGAGAATAACCTAAGATATAAGACACCCCAGGAATTTGAGAATAAGGGAAGCCGTAGTCCAAGAGTGAGTTTTGTGATCTTTGGCCAGGTCACATCTCACAATTGGTGAGCTTGGGTAGTCCAATCATACCGATGGAGCCTTAATCAATGTTATAGCCCACAGTTTCAGTCTGAGAAAATAAAGAAGATATAAGATTAGATGATCATTGCCTAAGTAAATATATGACGTGTCACACGTGCTAAGTGGTGGCAGGTCGTAAGAGTATGGGTCATATCATATATCTGAGAATATGGTGACAATGCACCTAGTTACGTGAGTTAAAGGAGCTATATAGTGATAAATGGTAAATTATGATACACGTGAGTTTGATTTGCATATTGATCTCCTTGTACATGTATTTGTTTTATAATTGATATATAACTGTATAAGGTAAAGTTAACCCTGGTTACTGAGTGACTAAACTCACCCCTTTATTTAATAATTTTCAAGCTCTAGCTTTGGTGTTGAGAGGGAGAAGACTAAAGAGGTGAGAAATTAGCATATTCCTACTGTATGCCTCTAGTTTAGCTTTAATTGTGTAATAGTATATGGCTTGCCAATTCTAGGATGCATATTATCTCACTTGCATTATTTTGGTTGTTGAAAATGTTAGAATTGTATTTTAGGCCCTTAGCGTTTATGTATATTGATGTGTGTGTGTGTGTGTGTTTATAAGGCCAAAATACTAATGTAAGTGTAGAAAT